TTTTACCGCAGGGAAATGACTAAATTATGCATGATATTTTTTGGAACAGACATTCATATGATCTTTGACAGGTTTAGATACATACAGACGGCTATGGAGTACTTTTTCCATATTGTATTCCATAACAAATACATGTTTTGAAACGTACCACATAAAAAATACAAGTAATTTCTCTGCAAAATAAACATCTCTGGAATTCAGAATTCTGTAAAGGCGACATTTGTAATCTGACACTCGACACTACAAACCTCTATATAAACCATCATCTCTGCAATCCGGCATCTGAGCAATACGGCGACATTTGTAATCTGACTCTCTACACTACAATCCCCTATATAAGGAAGCACCTCTGCAATCCGGTATTCTCAGCAACACGGCGACATTTGTAATCTAACACTCTACACTACAATCTTCTATATAAATCGGCACCTCCGCAATCCGGTATTCGCAACAATACGGCAACATGTATTGGGTATTTTTGTGTCAGAGGTTTTTGATGTCCTAATGTTCTGAAAAAAAATGACCCTCCTCTTGTCCCCCTACCCTCTTTAATCCGTGTAATTATATTTTACACGCCAATAATAAATGACTGGTCCCTAAGTATTCTCTGTTATATGGCAGTTTTTGTACTCTCGGTTATTTAGCATTCTCTGTATGCCAGTGTTTCGGGGAACCGAATTCTCTGTCATACTCCCCTCTCTGTTGCCCCCAGTAACCCAACACTGTCTGTAGGCCGTCACTCACTGGTGCCGTGTTCTCTGGATTCCATGACATCTGTGTCTTCTTATAGTATACGTTACACCGCGGTATATTCAATCCGGCATTTGTCGCCGTACGGTATACGCACTCTATCTGATACAACACACTCAGTAATACGGCATTCTCTGCATAGCAAGACCCTGAGTAATACGAGAGTCACTCAAATACACTCCCGTTGTTTTGTTAAATAGCACTTGTGAAGAAATCGGTGCAAGGAAATAATTCAACAAAATCGTACAATTTCTCGGGCGTCGGAAAGTTTAATGTTTCAACTAGCTGGCAGATTTGCCCAACTTTAACCTGAACGACATACAATCAAACATTATCAGGCCTAAAGCAAAGTTTGTATTGGAATAAATTCTGAAATTCTGGGAATATTTGACTGGGGTATTTGCTAGGTGTTACCGTGTCTACAAGGCTGCTAGCAGAACAACGTCAAACTGTCAACTCCTGGCCTGATATACAATTGGAGTAAATATTTTCATACGGCCTTGGACGGATAATCAAAGACGTTGTTTTCTAGGATACTGTTCACGTGTCTCTTTGTGGAAGGCGATTTAACACGCCATCATTATGTGCAGGGAGACGGGACACAATAAGACAAGGATATAATACAATAATAGAAGGCCGGGATACAATAATACTAGGACATGATACATTAATACCAAGACATTGAACACTAATACTAGGGCAGGGTACAATAATACAAGGACAGGGTACAATAACACTAGGATAAGGTACAATAATACAAGGACAGGGTACAAATATACTAGGACAGGGTACAATAATACTAGGACAGGGGAATAACACTAGGACAGGGTACAATAATACCAGGACAAGGTACAATAATACTAGGACAGGGTACAATAATACTAGGACAGGGTACAAATATACTAGGACATGGTACAATAACACTAGGACAGGGGAATAACACTAGGACAGGGTACAATAATACCAGGACAAGGTACAATAATACTAGGACAGGGTACAATAATACTAGGACAGGGTACAATAATACTAGGACAGGGTACAATAATACTAGGACAGGGTACAAATATACTAGGACATGGTACAATAACACTAGGAAAGGGGAATAACACTAGGACAGGGTACAATAATACCAGGACAAGGTACAATAATACTAGGACAGGGTACAATAATACTAGGACAGGGTACAATAATACTAGGACAGGGTACAAATATACTAGGACAGGGTACAATAACACTAGGACAGGGTACAAATATACTAGGACATGGTACAATAACACTAGGACAGGGGAATAACACTAGGACAAGGTACAATAATACCAGGACAAGGTACAATAATACTAGGACAGGGTACAATAATACTAGAACAGGGTACAATAATACTAGGACAGGGTACAAATATACTAGGACATGGTACAATAACACTAGGACAGGGGAATAACACTAGGACAGGGTACAATAATACCAGGACAAGGTACAATAATACTAGGACGGGGTACAATAATACTAGGACAGGGTACAATAATACTAGGACAGGGGAATAACACTAGGACAGGGTACAATAATACCAGGACAAGGTACAATAATACTAGGACATGGTACAATAATACTAGGACAGGGTACAATAATACTAGGACAGGGTACAAATATACTAGGACAGGGTACAATAACACTAGGACAGGGTACAATAACACTAGGACAGGGTACAATAATACAAGGACAGGGTACACTAATACAAGGACATGGTACAATAATACTAGGACAGGGTGCAATATCACTAGGACAGGGTACAATAATACTAGGACAGGGTACAATAATACTAGGACAGGGTACAAATATACTAGGACATGGTACAATAACACTAGGAAAGGGGAATAACACTAGGACAGGGTACAATAATACCAGGACAAGGTACAATAATACTAGGACAGGGTACAATAATACTAGAACAGGGTACAATAATACTAGGACAGGGTACAAATATACTAGGACATGGTACAATAACACTAGGACAGGGGAATAACACTAGGACAGGGTACAATAATACCAGGACAAGGTACAATAATACTAGGACGGGGTACAATAATACTAGGACAGGGTACAATAATACTAGGACAGGGGAATAACACTAGGACAGGGTACAATAATACCAGGACAAGGTACAATAATACTAGGACATGGTACAATAATACTAGGACAGGGTACAATAATACTAGGACAGGGTACAAATATACTAGGACAGGGTACAATAACACTAGGACAGGGTACAATAACACTAGGACAGGGTACAATAATACAAGGACAGGGTACACTAATACAAGGACATGGTACAATAATACTAGGACAGGGTGCAATATCACTAGGACAGGGTACAATAACACTAGGATAGGGTGCAATAATACTAGGACAGAGTACAATAACACTGCGACAGGGTACAATAACACTAGGACAGGGTACAATAATACTAGGACAGGGTGCAATAACACTAGGACAGGGTACAATAATACAAGGACAGGGTACACTAATACAAGGACATGGTACAATAATACTAGGACAGGGTGCAATAACACTAGGACAGGGTGAAATAACACTAGGACAGGGTACAATAACACTAGGCCAGGGTGCAATAACTCTAGGACAGGGTACAATAATACCAGGACAGGGTACAATAATACCAGGACAGGGTACAAAAATAAAAGGACAGGGTACAATAATACTAGGACAGGGTACAATAATACTAGGACAGGGTACAATAATACCAGGACATGGTACAATAATACTAGGACAGGGTACAGTAATACTAGGACAGGATATAATACAATACCACTAAAATAGTGAACAATGATAATAGGACAGGGTACAATAATACTAGGACATGATACAATAATACTAGGACAGGGTACAGTAATACTAGGACAGGGTAAAATAATACTTGGTAAGGGTACAATAATACTGGGGCATGATACAATAATATTAAACCAGGGTACAATAACACTAGGACAGAGTACAATAATACTAGGACAGGGTACAATAATACAAGGACATGGTACAATAACACTAGGACAGGGTGCAATAATACTAGGACATGGTACAATAATACTAGGACAGGGTACAATAATACCAGGACATGGTACAATAATATTAGGACAGGGTACAGTAATACTAGGACAGGATATAATACAATACCACTAAAATAGTGAACAATGATAATAGGACAGGGTACAATAATACTAGGACATGATACAATAATACTAGGACAGGGTACAGTAATACTAGGACAGGGTAAAATAATACTTGGTAAGGGTACAATAATACTGGGGCATGATACAATAATATTAAACCAGGGTACAATAACACTAGGACAGAGTACAATAATACTAGGACAGGGTACAATAATACAAGGACATGGTACAATAACACTAGGACAGGGTGCAATAATACTAGGACATGGTACAATAATACCAGGACAAGGTACAATAATACTAGGACATGGTACAATAATACTAGGACAGGGTACAAATATACTAGGACAGGGTACAATAACACTAGGACAGGGTACAATAATACTAGGACAGGTTACAATAATACTAGGACAGGGTACAATAATACCAGGACAGGGTACAATAATACCAGGACAGGGTACAATAATACTAGGACGTGATACAAGAAGACTAAGACAAGACACTTACAATACAAGAACAGATAAAAGACAAGGACAGGATAAAACAAGATATTAGAACAAGATACGGTACTAGACCAGGACAACACAATACTTGGCCAGGAAACAGTCCCGTTGAGTCCTAATGACGCCATTACGGGATCAGATGACGCCTCTAAAGTTGGCAAACACGAGAGGCAAGTTTTCTTTCAAAACATAATTATGATCCCACGATCAGAAGATCAAAGTTGGAAATATAAGTGGTACACCAGGAAAGATCTAAAGTGTAGCGAATCATATGGCCTTGTTGCTTGCGTTCGTGTACATGTAAGGATTTGGCGTACTGCCATAACCATTATCCCTCGTTGTCCCTGAGATGGGTCATAAGGTCCCGACATCAAACACGCTGTTTGTCTTTAAATCATAAGATTTCCGACATAATCGCCCAGGTTATGTTTAGGGTAATACTACCTACAAGTACAGGGAACACCTTTGCAATTGTTGTGCAGAATCTGAACAGGAATTGCTACAGCATCAGAGTGCTCATGACTGAACCCTGAAACAGGCATGCAATATAACATTGATAGTGACTCACCATTGTTGGTTAAATCCTATAAGTGTTGTCAGCGACGTAGTCCGAGAGTGACACCACCGTCGACGATGTTGCTACTATGACACTACGAGAGCGTGAGGATGACGTGTGGCTGGCTCTCTGTCGGCGTGTTCTGTTTCACACAGTAGCAGCGTCTGTGCAGCGTGTGGCAGAAGCACTTGGTAGAGCGGACGCTAGGAGTATGTCCGATGCGGGACCTCAATGATGTGAGTCACATGGCTAAGCCTGCAGGTTTGCCAGGCGAGCACAGCACCTAGCGTATCGACCTAACATCAACCTTCTCTTTACGGACACTCCGTTAAAAGGACATTAGCCAAGACCAGTTAGTCGTTTTACGAATTTTTATCCAAAACTTACATGAAGGTAGGAGTGGTGAAAAAATCATTTTTTTCAAATCAATGACTAAATTCATATCTGCATCGTGTTTTTAACGGCGTTACCCTTTTGCATATAGATACACCTCCTTGTTTTACCTGACTTTGTACACAGATTTTACCTCTTTGAACCTAAGATGTATAAAATGTTTTTACTATTCAAAAATACACGGGGGCACGGGTGGCCTAGTCGTCTAAGGCGCCGTGATTCGCTGTGCAGTGTTGCGTCCCTTGGGCACGCCAGAAACCTATGATTGTGGGTTCGAATCCCGGTTCGCCCCGATTATGTTTCTAGGTTTGTCAGCACCATACCCGTGCTCGTGGGTTTCACCGAAGTGGTGAACGTCTGAGACCTGCATCACTTCGGGCTTTCCTCCCACATTAAGCTGACACGCCGTGATATAACTGGAATACTGTTAAAAGCGGCGTTAAACCCAACTCAATCACTCACTCAAATATACACAATTAACATTAAGAAAACTGTCCAACTCTCTCATTTTTGTGATCAATGCTTTCAAGACATACACAAGTATTCCCATGACACAGCGTTTAAATGGCTGAAAGGATACAGTCGAGTCTGCCCTAAAACACTTAAACTGGTCTGGTCTTAGAGCAATGTAAAAGAAAAAAAATATCCTCACCTTGTATACCCTTAAATAGTATTGTTTTATATTAATAATATAGTTTATTGAACATTTGTATATGAACTTTGTTCGGTTTCAGCCGAAAGGGATGAGAAGCAATAGACTTCACACATTGTACCCATATGTAGGGTGCCGACCCAGCTGATGTATTTAACTCTTGGCACCATGGCGTTTGACACCATTTAAGCTATCCTGCTAATATCCAGTAATGTCTCGTTAATTCGAAATCGATACATACATCGATACACACAAACCGAGGGTATATGTATGTATGTATGTATGTATGTATGTATGTATGTATGTATGTGTGTGTGTGTGTGTGTGTGTGTGTGTGTGTGTGTGTGTGTGTGTGTGTGTATATAATACCTACAAGCAATATATATATATATATATATATATATATATATATATATATATATATATATATATATACCTTCGGTTTGTATCGAAAACGGATAACTCGAACTGAAGCATAATTTTTGTAATTTTTCCACAATAATCGCATGGCATTAAATCACTGCCAACATCACAAGAATGAAATGCCATGCCGATGACTTAAACAGAAGGGCCATAGACGCCCGTGTCTGATGGTGATTACTTAAACAGCAAACAAACCAATCAACCAGTTTATTTGAACAAATCAGGTATATCCTGTCGTGGCATTGCATATCTCCGTGTTGGCTTATTGAGAAGACGTTGGTTATATTTCCAAGGCCTTACCGAACAGTGCTTTACTGTATACCACGTAAACCAAGAACAGGTTTGTTTAGTTAAAATGACAATACCATATGGGTGTAACGATATATATAATGTTATTATTTTCCATCAAATATTCATGAATATAAGTCAAATGATCCTGTATTCCACATGTCTTTCTATAGTGGTACTCCTTATCTGATTGTCAGAATAATATAAAGCGTACATTGGGAGCGAGATATCCATTGCTGTTTTGACTTGTTTCTTGGTCAGAAACCCGCTGGAGTCTTGTGGTTAATGATTGGCTTCTTCTCGCCAAGGTTCTGTGATCGATTCCCGTCATGGTACAAATTGTGAAGTTTCTCTCCTGCTGTGATATGGTCGAATACTGTTAAAGAGGGCAGTGGGGTAGCCTAGTGGTTCAAACGTTCGCTCGTCACGCAGAAGGCCTGGGTTCGATTCCCACATGGGTACAACGTGTGAAGCTCATGTTTGATGTCCCCAGAATATTGCTGGAATATTGATAAAAACGATACTAGCGCACTCACTCACTGTTAAAGGGTCTATGCTTAGAAGCCTGGAGCGCATTTTCTGCCAAGTTATATATTTTGTGATTAATATTTGGGTGTAACTGAAAAACACTGGCTCTACCTATTTGTGAAGAAATTGTTCATTTGAAATACATCATTAAAAAGTGTGCACTTACAGTCACTGGAAGTGGTGTTTCAGGATTTTGAATCAAATGCTGGGCTGACTGTTTGTCCAAGCGGCGTGAAATAATATTCACTCCCTCGAACACTATTGTTTGGCTTGCCGTAAAAGGTGACTTTGCTTGTCGTAAGAGGCGACATACGGGATCGGGTGGTCAGGCTCGCTGACTTGGTTGATGCATGTCATCGATCCCAATTGCATGGATCGATGCTCATGATATCAATCACTGGATTGTCTGGTCCAGACTCGATTATTTACAGACCGCCGTCATATAGTTGGAATATTGTTGAGGTGCGGCGTTAAACAACAAACAAACAAACACTAATGTTTGGCGATCTCTTACTAATGACCTACACGTATATTGCTGTTGTCATTGTTTATCGATAATCCTCAGTTTGCATTGGTGCCAAACATGCCCATGCAGGACGATGTCATTATGGTGAACGCGGAGCTGCCTAAAGAGAGTATCGAAAGACCTAACGCTGTAATTACTGTTGACACTCTCATTGACAAGTGCATCTCGCACACGATGGAAAACATCAGTGTTAACATGGCACCCCATCCAACTCCATCACGACAGCAGCATCAGAAGAACAAAGCTTTAGTCTGGTACTGCAGCTGTTTTAACATTGTTAATATATACACTCTGTAAACGTGCATTAATCGTCCCGGATATTGTGAAACGGCAAAGCATACCAGTTAGGAAAACTCATCGATAAAAATTAACTGTTTGAAGAGGCGGTAAAATCCTCATCTGCTGCCTCTTATACACTGGTAATCATATTTTTAAACAATAATACCCCTCCATGGACAATGTGCTTAATTTAACGCCGCATTATTCCAGCTATATGACGGCGGTCTGTAAATAATCGAGTATGGACGAGACAATCCAGTGATTTATATCATTAGCATCGATCCACGCCATTGGGATCGATGACATGCATATACCAAGTCAGTGAGCCTGACCACCCGATCCCGTTAGTCGCCTTTTACGACAAGCATAGTCGCCTTTTACGGCAAGCATGGGTTGCTGACGACCTATTCTACCCCGGATCTTCACGGGTCGATTCCATTATCACTTGGACAGTTCCATCATCATGGTAATATTCTCGCCCATTCGTTTTAATTTGGCGATTATTTTCCACAATAAATATTAATTTTATTCTTCTTATAGAAGAATGTTTGTCAACGTGGGTGCAAAATGGAATATAAATGCCAATTTGTGAGTGAGTTGGGCGTAACGACGCTTTAATTGTGCGTTTGTTTGTTGATTAACGCCTCACTCAGCAATATTTCAACTATATGACGGCGGTCTGTAAATAATCGAGTCTGGACCAGACAATCCAGTGATTGATATCATGAGCATCGATCCACGCAATTAAGATACGATGACATGCATCAAACAAGTCAGCGAGCCTGACCACCCGATCCCTTTAGTCGCCTCTTACGACAAGCATAGTCGCCTGTTACGGCAAGCATGGGTTGCTGAAAATCGATTCTACCCCAGATGTTCACGGGTCTAACACCACTCTAAACAGTTATCATTCCAGTCATATTACAAACGTAGAAGGTGCTGACAAACCTAGAAACATAATCGGGGCGAACCGGGATTCGAACCAACGGCCATGGGTTCCTTGCGTGCCCAAGGGACGCAACTCTGCACAGCGAATTGCGGCGCCTTACACTACTGAGCCACACGTGTCCCCATAAATTTCAGTAAGCTGTTGAGATTTCAGCAATACACGTGAAAGAAATATGTTCATAGCCGAAACAAATCTATAACTGATTTTTATTGGACTGTGAAACTTTATACCAGTGTGCACCTGATCTGTGTACATGCATGAATTAATAATGAATTAAATCGCCATGCTGATGCATGATATGTGTATGGTGCCGACAAACCAAGAATTCTAATCAGGGATTTAGAACCAACGGTTATTAATAGATTCCTTGCCTTCGAGACGCAACCCAACACAACGGTGTCTTTGTCGGCCGTGATTTCTAATTTCTAATCCTGAATGGGCGGCATGTAAGTTATCAAGTTTTGACTAGGCAAGCCTGTTGCGTAGATCGATGCTCATGATGTCAATCATTGAATTGTCTGGTCCAGACTCCAGATTCTTTACAGACCGCCGCCATACAGCTGGAGTATTTCTGGGTGAGATGTTAAACAACAACAAACCAGCCAAACAAACAAATAAACAAACAAAAAACCAGGCAAGCAAGCGGTTGACAGCTTGCGAAACGATCGAAGCTTTCGACCTCACGTGACACTTAATCGCCAAGGTCACTCGTTGTAACTGAATCGCCAAGGTCTCTCGTTGTAACTTAATCGCCAAGGTCACTCGTTGTAACTTAATCGCCAAGGTCACTCGGTGTGATAGTCCGGTCGCACTCGGTAGGCTCTTAAACACATGGGGACAAGAGCGATCCATGGCACAGGTAGATTCGGGAGAACTTTCAGAAATTTATTTTTAAATAATTGTTTCAGTGATCAAAGAGGAATAAATTAAAAAGATATTTATCTGTGAATGTGCTTCATTTTGTAAATAAATAGCACTTAACAAAAGGACAACACCTTCTTAATTTTATAAACTTGTGGTCAGATAGTTCGGCATACGTCTTAATTCTGGACCACACGGGTTCGTGAATGAATGTGGTTTTATGGCGCGGTACAATTCCAGCTATATAACGGTGGGTGTCAGCGCCTAGCAAACCATTTGTTGAGTGCGTGAACTGCGAGCAGGCG